TGCCGTAAGTGGTCAGGCCGGCAGATCCGACCGAGTTGAGGAGGACATCGCAAAGAGCGTAGCAGGCATCGATGGACGCAGCGGACGTCTGGGCGTTGAAGATGGTGTTGATGAAGGCCGCGATGTCTTCCTGCGATGGCGGGGGAGGGGCTTCTTTCGACACCACGAGCGGCGGCGAAACCGGGTGAGGCATTGTTGGAGGTTTTGGAGCGTCCTGTCTGTGAGAATAAAGGGGGGGAGGTACAAAGTCAAAACAAGGAGATTCCCCAGAACAAAAGGTCTCAGCCGCAGGACGCAAAGGAGGGCTGTTCTCTAGCAAAGTCTGGGGAGGCAAAAAGAAAAGAAGAAGGGCGATGTTGCTCGAGGAAAAAAAAGAAAGAATACGGGGATAAGACAAGAAGCTGAAAAGGGTCTGGTGCTGGCCCATCCAGCAAGGCGCTGCACCGATTCGAAAAATTTCTCTTATCAGCCCCTTATCTCACTAGCCGGCTTGGAAATGCAACTGCCGCTAAGCATGTGCGGCTGACGTTATCGCCATTCTGCAACTCCACGTGGGTCACGGCGAGCATCATCTGTGGACGGGCCGTTACAAATCGAGGTACATATAGTACATACTGTAAAAAGGCTCATTTCTTGGGATTGGGATGGGACGCTGCTGGCAAATGTTAAAATCATAGTGGGCAAATCATAGTGGACACGTTTATCCGTACATAGCATTTCACTCTCAGATTTGATTTGATACATGTGCAAAATAGAGGCAGTCAAAAGCAACAGGGAATGTGCCAGCCATATCAAGGTCAATGCAAAAGAAAAAAATAATAGAATATAGAAAAAAAACTTGCTTCCTGTCTAGACGATCCCTTTGGTTCTCCGCAAAGTCCAGCATGCTTTAACTTTAGTTCATGATCCGAGTCTACACTTCGTTTGCCCATCGCTGTGACGCCACCACGCCTCTCCAATCAAGTAAAAAAAAAAAAAGAAGATTGGTTAAAGAAGAGAAGAAACATCAAATGAAAATACAGAAATAGGTAAATGTACCGCCCACAAGGGGTATAATTAGAAGCACATACACTTCCAACACGTTGCAAGAATCGTACACCGCTCCATGTATGTCCATTCTAACCGTATGTGTTTGCTTCGTGAATTATTCGAGTAAAAAAAGGCATCATCGTTGATGGTTTTGGAAATAAAAAATGGAGAAAAAGTGAAAATAAAAATGAAGAGAGGGAGAAAAAAAATGTCAAGATATTGAAAGCACGCGATATACTGAGGTCATAAACATCACGGTTCACCCTGGCTTGAACCCCGGAGGGTTACAGGGCCTTGGAAACCACCTTGGGAAGGGGGCTTGACGGCGTCCATCTCGAGGCCTCGAGAATCGAGCACTGGGCGTTGGTCCCGGTGAAGACCAAGTCGTTGATCGCCGTTCTCATAGCGCTTCTTGAACTGGTAATAAGAGGGCGTGCGGGGTCGGCAGAGAACGGCCAGGATGTTCCTCCAGAAGCTTGCTTGGTCAAACGGACGGTATCGTTCGCTCTTGGTGAACTTGTGAGAGTTCATGAATTCTCTCGTCGTTTCGCCACGGGCCATCAAGAAGATGTGGTATCCCATGAGCGCGGCGGGGTAGAGAAAGGTAAAGACTCCAAGGATGACCAAGGCCAGAGAAACACGGAAGTGGTCGACGGATTTGGAAAAGGAAATATTTTTTTGGTTCATGTAAACAATGAGTTGTGCGAGGCTTGCACCGATCAAGTAGAGGGAGAGGATGGTGGCAGATGAGACAAAGGTGAAAAAGTATCGGTAGTTGCGTTTACCAACGCAGTTGTTGAGCCACACGCAGTGGTGGTCATGCGTCTCCACGCAGTTGTCACATAGACGGCAGTGGTGAGCGCGAGGTGGCCGCCAGATGTTGCACGTCCGGCAGTGCTTGACGGGGAACTCCATGGCGGCCGCCGTCGGCTCCGCTGACTTTATCAGTGTCCAGTCGTTTGTGGGAGGGTCGACACGAAGGGGATCTTCATGCGGCCCAAGAGGCGGGAACTGGTGAAGGTTTCGGGGAAGGATCTGGAATCAGTTAGCATGCTGGGCACGTCTCGCTGCGTGGACACAAACGGCCAAAGCCAAGAGGCGCTACTCACTCCGGGGTCCGAAATGGAAGCGTGGAGGAAAGAGGAGAAGCAAAGGTAGGCGAGGTATGCAAAGATGATGGGGATGGCGGGAGAAATGTTGTGCCAAAGCCACGGTGCCTCGAAGACGAAGAACAGAACGCAAGGGATAACCACAAAGAGCCCCGTAGCAACATTAATGGGCCGTTGCCTGGTGTTTTGCCATCGGCCTCCGAAGAAAAACATGGTATTGCCCTCAAAGTACTCATAGTTGCGCTCCCTGCTGAACTTGTGCTGTACTGCGGTGCTCTCGGTCTTGGGTCGTAGTTGGGAATCGATGGGGTTTAGCCGTGGTGATGACGCAGTGGAGGCGAGCTTCTCCACGCCATCCGCCGGGTTTCGGTTCTCACCACTCTGGGCCTGATCACGGTCACTCATGCCGGGCAGAAAAGTTGACCCAAACGACCGTGGGGTTTTGAGCATCGGGCTAGGGAAATTCCTCAAATCTCTCAAGCTTGTCGTGCCACCGCTCAGGTCAAGATGTGGGTGGGCCTTGTCCGGAACCGAGGCCTTGCGCAGCGGTCGAACGCTCTCGGACATGCTCCCTCCAGCATAGTGGCCGGTAGGGCTGGTGGCGTCCGTAGCCTGGTCGAACGTGTCGTGCTCAGTAAAGTCGGTGCCGCGGGAGGGCAGGTGTCTCTGGTCTTCGCTATACATGACGTGCTGGAACTGCACCGGCGGGCCATGCTGGGCCACGGGTGAAGGTGCAAAGTCGTGGATCACACTGCCATCGATATCCGTTGCGTTGTCGGGCAGGTCCCCGAACTGTGGCTGGGGCGCAGGTGGTGGTGGCTGGGTCGTCGCGAGAGGTCGTGCGGCTCCGGCTCTCTGGGCCTGCAGCTTTTGCGAGCTCATGGGGTGGAAAAAGGCGTTTGACGTGAGCGAAGGGACGTGGCTGCGGGACGTCAGGCTCGGCGACGTTCCCAGCGCGGAGCTGGTTGTGCTGGTGCCGCTTCCTCTCTTGCCGACGCCCAAGTTCTTCCTGGCGCCTCCCCATATTTTGGACGAGGCCGCCGTCTTGGCCGTCTCTGGCCGAATCACCGATCCCGATTCCCTTGTCTGATGCGTCTTGGGCGCCGAAGTCGATGCGTTGCCGTCGGCCTCATCCTCGCTGGCGATGTCGGTCATGTGGGAGGATACAACACTTCCAGGGCGTTGTCCATCTGGAGTCGAAGATGCGGGAGGTGCGAAAGTCTGGACATTGCCAGTCGGCGAAACTGGCTCGTCTTGGGACGCCATCGTGATGGTCCCGTATGTGCAGATTCCCTGAGTCGTCCTATAACATAGCCCGTTCTCTCAATTCTCTCTTCTTTTTTTCTTGTAGTTTTTTTTCCAAGGCCCCTTCAGAGAGCACGAGATCCGAGTGTTCCGCCAAAATCTCACTGCGAGGAGACAAGACCGTGGCGAACAGCGTATGACAGATCGACTCGACGTTTGACAAATTTGCGGCTGCCGGAAACACGCAGGGGGGGAGAAGAAATAAGATGGGTGGTTCCGCGCGATGGGAAAATGGTAATTCGGGTGGCCGCTTTGTAAAAGGTGTCGCGCAACAAGTCGTCGAGGGGTCGGATCGCGAGATTCCGAATGGGCGTTATCAATCAAAGGAGCGTAAATGAAAGGCTGTGTTTAAAAGAGAAAAAAAAGACAAGGGAGAGAGAGCGTAAACGAATCGAAAAAACTGCAGTAGGTTAGAGGGAGCGTCGGAAGCGGGGATGCTTCAAGATGAAAAAGAAGAAGAAAAAATGGGTGACAAAGACAGTTCGGAGGGTTGATGAACAGGCCGGAAGGACGCCCGCTCCGGCAAAAGCGGAGGAAAGAAGAGACAGAAAGAGAGAGAGAGAGAGGCAGCGAGTTAAACATGCGAATTCCTTTTTCCTCCGTCGCGAGCGTCTCTGCCGTTCGTCCACTTTTCGACGCCTGTTACAGTAACGAGGCTGCAGGCATGCGCCCAGACCCTCCTTTCTCCCTGGCAGGGCAAAAGGGGCTGGCCATTGGTGCGTTTGGCTCTGCGCAATTTGGAGGTTGAGGCCGGCAGCGGTAGTGGCCGTCCGAGCGTGTCGTATTGAGTACTTGCCGGTTAGCCTGCAGACGGTGGAAATTAACGGGCTGCTTGGGGTCTAGCCGGCGTAGTCGGTACCTGGGCGGAAGACAACGGGTACATGCTGGCGGCGCACGGAGCACACCACCAGTGCTGGAAGTGAGTGACCTGCAGCCGAAGTCGAGAAGCTGGGGCTTGCATGAGATTGAGCCCAGCTCACGGTTGAGCTTTACATGAAGCCAAACAAGGTATACCTACCGTCTGCTTACTGACGAGTATTGCAATGTACAGACGAGGGCAAGGAAGACAAGGCGACTCGAGTTACTGGCTGCTGACAAACCCTGAGAAATGTCTCTTCGTATCCCAATTCCCAGGCACAGTGACAGCATTCAGTACTAACTAAGCATTCACTCACATGCACAATTCCCGCCACGCTCGTCATTGGCCTGTGGAAATTGCCCAGCCTAGCGCGCTGTGATGTGACGGCGATCAATGCCCAACACGCTGCATTTTTCCATGCCTTGCCTCTGACCCGGGCCTGGAAACCTATGAGCTCATGGTTACGTAATCTAAGCCATTGCAGCACAACCAGCTCCCCAGCCATGTGACTTCTCACGTGCACCCATCCCACCTTCGGCATTGGCCAATGGCAGCCTCGGAATCTCGGGTTGAAATCATCATACGACCCCAGCTTTAGCACCACTAATTCCAAGCAAGCTTTTGGCCTCCAGCGATCCAGATCCAACAAACCTCAACCTCCCCTATCAAACCAACCCTCCGCCAATTCGTCCGTCAAAATGGCCTCCATGATCACCCGCCGCTTCTTTTCCACGACTGTCCGTCGCATGACCGTGGACACCGCCTCCAAGCAGGAGCTCCAGTCCGAGTCCAAGCGCAACCCCGAGATTTATGTGCGTCATATTGGAAGAAGCGAAGCTCTCTTCTCGCAGCTCCGTCACGTCCCGCGCCGCTCCCTCGAAGAGTTCCGATGGCTAATGGTTTTGCTTTGGGGTGTTTATAGATCCTCGGTGGAGTTATGGTCGCCGCTCTGGGCGGTGCCGGCTTCTACTTCGGTATGCGACCCCAGACAGTGCAACTCCTTTGCTTGACATGATGCAATGCAACTCGGCCATCCTCGACATCAACATGGGCCCTGTCTCTTGTTCTTGTTTCTTTACAGCAGCGGCCGCTGCACCAAGTACCGCATAGGAGTCGCCAAGGACCTATATACTAACGTTTCCCTTCCAGGCCGATCTCCCACCGTCGCCACCTCTGAGTCTCCCGTCAACGTCGCCAGCATGGCCTGGGAAGGCGATGGCCAGGGCAAATACAAGTACCACCCCGGCGGTGACCCCAACGCTACTCCCCGTGACGCTCCCAGCGCCCTCAACGTTGTCATCATCCCCAACGTCACTGCTCCCAAGGAGTACCACGACAAGTTCAACAAGTGGGGCAAGGAGGGATACCCTTAAAGGGTGGAATGCGCACATGGAAACTTGTGAGCAGTGATGGAAATGGTAGAAGCGGGCATTCTTGTATTTAAATGAGGCGTGTTCGCCTGTGTAGACATATGGGTGGTTGGGGGGATGCGTCATGGGTTTTGAAACAAACCGATGATGAGACAGAAAAAAGAAGGAGAAGAAAAATTAAAGATTATTTTTGCATACACCTTCAAAAGTGAGGCATTACGGTCGAAGCTCAGAGATAATAATGAACCATTAAGCGATTGAAAGGTTTAAAGCAACAGTCTTATCATTGCCTTGATCAAATCGACATCACTCGGGTGGAACGGGAGTGCCAAGCCAAAATACATCATGGCCCCTATCATTGCGGCCCTTTCCCAATCATTGAGAGCCCAGAATATTTCCTATCATAACAAGCCTATCAAACAGGCAACCCATCATGAATTTCTAGCCCTTCCGACGCCAATGTTCTGATTTCTTCCCCCATCAGATCCAAACACCCCCTTCTCCCTCACTCCAACAAAACACCAACCCATGGCTAAGAGATCAGCAAATCTACCTCTTCGCCCGTGAATCCAAACAGGTAGAGCAAGTCCAGCATGCTCTGGCCGTTCAGTCGCGCTCCCGCCTCCATCTGCACCGTCGGCTTCGCATTCCATGCCACGCCCAGGCCGGCCTTTTCCATCATCAGGAGGTCGTTGGCGCCGTCTCCCACGGCAATGACCTGGGACAAGTCGATGCCCTCCTTTTGCGCAATTTCGACGAGGAGGTCGCGCTTGCGCTCCTTTCCGACAATGATACCCTTCACTTGGCCCGTGAGCTTGCCGCCTTCGATCACCACTTCGTTGGCGTGCGCATGGTCGATGCCGAGCTCCTTGGCCAACCATCCCGTCAGCGGCAAAAAGCCTCCGGAGAGAACAGCCGTCTTGACGCCGAGGCGTTTCAGCGCCTTGAGCAGATCCCGCACGCCGTTGGTGACGTCGAGGACCGGCCGAAGATCCTCAAAGAGGGTTGCCGGCAGGCCCTTGAGAAGCGCGACTCTCTCGCGGAACGACGACTCAAAGTTGAGCTCGCCCATCATGGCGCGATGCGTAATTCCAGCCACACGCTCAGCAAGATCCGGCGGGTCTTTGATGGTCTCGGCCAGCAGATCAATGACCTCTTGTGTGATGAGGGTGCTGTCCATGTCAAAGACAACCAGTCTGGGGTGCTTCCTCCACAGGACATCCCTCTGCAGAGCCACATCGACATTCCACTCCTGCTCAAATCTGTAGATGAGCTCGTGTTTCCGCAGGTCGTCCAGGCTGAGATAGCTGGGCGACGGAGCGGGTGTCAGCGTCAGTTCAACGACCCGGGGGCTCTCCTGGTTATCCAGACAGCGATGCGACGAGTGCGGCTCCTCGGCGCCGTCAGGCAGGGGGAACGTCGACATGAGGTGGAGGAAGGACGTGATGCACAGCGGCGAGACGTAGGAGCCGTAGAGGTGGTCGAGCTGCTCCGACTCCTGCGTGGGAGGCTCAAGAGGGAACTCGTCCATGCTGGTCGTCGGCGCCATGTTGGGGGGCAGAGACTCGGTGCTGTCGGCCAGCCCGGACTTGGCGGGCGATCGCGACCTGCTGAGGCCCCCGGAAGAGCTCCTGGGCGGCGCATTGCGGTCGGATCCCTTGTAGAAGAGCGTGGCGATGAGCCTGTCGGAGCGGCGGCCAGCAGGCGGCGCGCAGTTGGGGTGCGAGTAGCTGTGCGAGACGCCGCTGTCGACGATGATGGGCGGGTGCTCGGGCGACGGCACGCCATTGAAGGGCAGCTTGGGCGACTTGGACGGCGACGAGTCCTCGACGACGGTGTCGATGCCGTGATGGGCCTCGGGGATGCGGTGCTGCGGCGGGCGATACTGCTGGTGGTCGCTGAGGTACGAGCTGCTCCGCATGCTGCTGGTGAGCTGCGGGCGCTGCGACGACGTCTTTGCCGTGTCTGCCATGATGATTCGTTTTCTTTTTTCCGGCCGTTCAGTTGGTTTGAGCAGATGTTGTATGGAGATCGCCAGAAGCCGCAGCGAAAGCCGGAGCTGGTTTGGACGAGGGCGAGGGCGAGGAAAGCCGCAAAACAACAATGGAAGCCCCCCAAGAGTTTCGTCGGTTTGGCAGCCTCGCACAAGGTCGAGGAGGAGTTTCAAGTTCAGCCTGCCCGCCGCTTTTGCCGCTTGTGATTTTCTTGTGACGGGGGGTGGAGAGATTGCTCCGGCGTCGCACTAACAGCACCAATTTATGGTGTGATTTTGCGCAAAAAGAAGAGGTGGACTGGGAAAATGAATGGCTGGTGATGCGGGCAGGTTCCTGGAGGAGGGGCTGCGATTGTACTGTGTTGGAATGTATCCATGGACTGCTTTTACTTAACCTGGAGTGAGACTTGATCTTTATTTTTCTACATTAACAAGCTTTTCATGAGCAAATGATGGTAAGATATTTGTATTTTATTTATTCATACTATGTTGAATTTATAAACAAGCCATTTATTAATGTAGAAACACAACCAGAATGAGACATATAAGAGAAAAACTTCAACGCCTCCAGTGAAGCTCATTCGTCACTGTGCAGCTGCTGGTGCCCCGCGCTAGTTAGTCCCACGTGCGTCTTTTGACACCAGAGAGTTTAAACAAAGCTTAGTCATTTTACGAGAGACAATGGAGCAAAACTCCAAACTGACCATCGTGGCCAGCTGAATGCCATATGGACATGCTGGGCTGGCACATGTATAAATCACTTTCGAATTTTCGATTGAAATGAATCCTTTGTGGTGAAACTGATTACAATATATGAGAAAATGGTTATCAAGATATCTATAACTAATAAGTTGAGTTGTGCAAATCATTCCTTAAACCCTTGGCGACTGTCAGGCGTATACTTCCAACAAGCCGACATCATCTCAGTAACTCCCCTTCTTTACGCTCAACACCCCCTCCACAACCATTGAAAAATCCGAGCATATCCACAAACAAACAAATAAACATTTAACCAATAGAAATTTATCCAATAACCCACATCATCATCATCTCATCTTGCCAAAACCTCATCACACCTCAGTCCCCAGTCCGCAACCCCCATCTCACCATCACAGGCCTCCTCTTGCCCATCCAATTCTCCATCTCGTCAAGCCCATGATGAAACCCCCAAATCACCATCCCCAAATCATCCATGTCCTCCGGCAACGCTTCCCTTGTATCCAAAACAAACGTCCGCACCGTCACCTGCAGCCTCGGCCCCCGCTCCCACATGGCCTCCCACTCCACCGCCGTCTTGGCCTCCCAGAGCGCAACCTGCGCCGTGAACTTGAGCTGCAGCGTGCGCGCCTCGGCCTGGTCCCAGCCCTGCTTCAGGAAAGCGTACGTGCCGGAGAGGATCTCCGCGGTGAGGATGGTGCGCCGCATGCTCTCGTAGTAGATCCAGGACGCCCAGCTGTCCATGGTCTTGGAAAACGACCGAAGCCGCGGGTACAGGGCCGACAGCAGCGCCTGCACAATGGCTTCGTCTCGCTCCGCGCGCACTCGCTCTTCAAAGTCGTCCCTCGCGAAGAAGCGGATGCACTGGTAGACGACAAAGGCCTGCAGCACCGGCAGCAGGTCGAGCTCAGCTCCGACGGCGATTTCGGACGCGGAGGTGATGGCATGCCGGATGGAGCCAATGAGGCGGGCGACTCGCTTGGCAATCTCGCCTCGCACGAGCGCTGCATTGGCCGTGTTCCTCATGCAGTGCAGCGCGCTTGCGGCGAGGGCTTCCTGCAGCACCTCGGATGCCGACACCTGCGTGTGGTGGATGAAGCAGTTCTGGCCCGTCATGGCCAGGATTTGCGGCTGCATCGCAAACCGGCTAGCCGCCCACTCTGTCCGCGACTGGAAGATGTGGCCAGTCGTCACAGCAGTGTTGGAACTGTCAAAGTAAAAGAACTCGGGGGTGGAGAACTCCCGGCCAAAGGGGGCGGGCTCTACCGGCCCCGAATACGGGCCCAATGACAAGACGGTCTGGCCCTCGCCCTGGGACATGTACTCGTCTAATTGGGACAGCAAGCAAGGCACCAGCGGTGGGGGTACCGCTGACGAAGGGCCCGGAGACAAATATGCACCGCCATGACTGCTCCCACTGCTGCTGCTCCCGCTGCTGCTGCTGCTGCTTCCGCCCGAATGCCAGATGTGGCCCAGATCCTGTGTTGTACTCGCATCCGCTCTAATACCCGCAGGCGACGAGTTCAGTCCCAGCTGTTCTGCGCTTCCAATTGCCATCCAGGGATAGACGCAGTCCTTCCTCGCCCTGCGACAGCGACCACACGTCGGCAGGTCCAGGTCGCACCTCCGCTTGCCAGCCACACATGCGGCACACGATTTTCTACGGGACGAGATCATGGCGAGCGGTTAATTCTGGGCGATCTGCGGAACAACGAAAAAGGGTGAGTGCGGAAGTGAGGGAGGAGAAGGCAAGGCAAAGCTTCGAAGGGGCTTCGGGGGGGGGGCTTGTAGACAGCGGTTAAGCTGGTTCCGACACGGCCCCATAAAAATGCGGAATTCCGCTCTCGGCCCCCCCGTCGGAGGCGGGACTGAGAACCGGCCCATGGAACAAAGAAGCACAGCATTGTATGGGAGAAGCTGTGCAGATGCGTGAAGGAAAGTTTCGGAGCACGATATTCTCTTGGTTCTGGTATATATGATGTAAGCTGTGCTGCGGAATTCAGCAGTTGTAGTTGACAAATCAAAGGGCGAATGAGTGTATATATAGAGAGTTGAGAGGTATAAATAACCATGGAGTGCTGAATTAACATACCGAAAATCGACATTCATAGTGTCAAATTCTTTGAAAAGATTGCAATAAAAAATAAATCCTTGAATTTCATCCAAAATGGCAGCCGCTCCACAGCAAGAATTCGACATCCCATACCGCGTCATCTCCATCACCGACAAGACGCACAAGACCTCCTACCCGGCCATTTCTCCCTCCCGCCCCGCCCTCTCCCAAGCCGGCCGGACGGTCCTCATCACCGGCGGCAGCGGGGGCATCGGCTACGGAATCGCCCTCGCGTTTGCGACTGCCGGAGCTGCCCGAGTCATCATCGTCGGCCGGGACGAAGCCAAACAACAGGCAGCTGTCGCGAGTCTCGCTGCGGAAGCGGGCTCTGGTTCGCACACAAAGTTCGAGGGGAGGGCTGCCTCGCCTGGAAGCCCAGAAAACATCGACAGCCTGTGGGATGCCCTTGCGTCCGAGGGCGTACTCGTCGACGTGCTGGTGCTGAATGCGGCTGTGACTGGCAACTCGCTGGAACGCAGCCTGTGGGCGAGGGGGTGGGAATCCACCTGGGAACAGTTCGTTGTCCATGTTCGCTCAGTGAATCACTACAGCGAACGCTTCTGGAAGCAAAACGTGGATAAAAAGGCAAGCGACTGATCCCGTATCGCTTTTCCATGGGTTCATCCATCATATATCTTGACAGAATAGTGTGTGCTAACAACGTTGTTTGATGCAGAGATATCTCGTCAATGTGGCTACATCTGCGATCCACGACTGGGACGCTGGGGTGAACACCAAATCCTACGCACTGACCAAAAACTCAGGAGTGCTCTTGCTACAGCAGCTCGCACGAGATTCACCAGTCTCCAAGATGCAGATTGTCAGCTTTCACCCGGGTGCCATATTGAGCCCTGGTGCAAAGAACGCGGGGGCGACTGAACGAACCCTCGACTGGGATGACAGTACGTATACAGCCCAAGTTCCCGGACATGATTTTTCTTCAGTTCTGGCATCCCTTGTCGTCTGATCATTCATCTAACAATCCTTGCCATTTAGTCAGCCTCCCCTCCTCTGTTGCCATCTGGGCGGCTTCGGACGAGGCAGCGTTTTTGCACGGCCGGTTCATCTGGTCAGCATGGGATGTCGAGGAGCTGCGGAGTGGGCCCCTCCGAGAGCGCATAGAGCAGGATGAGCAGTATCTGCGAATCGGCGTTCATGGTGTGTGATTAGGTGGCACATTTGTTGCACGCGATGGGATAAACCGCCCAGTGGTTGTGTACAATAATATCGAATGTAGTGGTAGCAGCGTAAGACCAGGCATTGGTCGAGGAGCCAGAGCAAAATAGAAGCAACCCCATTCTACCCCGACTCTTCTTGAGCCACATATGAGCCAGCCAGTGAGTAGAGAGGCTACTTTGCAGCAGAAGCACTCACCTCGGACTCTCGGGCATGTGTAATTCACACTTCTCCTCTCCTCCCTCTCTCCTCTCCCCCTTCTGTCGCCATCAGCAAAGCGCTCCATCATCCGAGCTGACGAAGCATCCCTCGCTAGCACTAGTAGGCAATAATCAGCCTTCCCAATTCAGCCAAATCCTCAGCTCTCCAATGATCCTCACAGCGACGAGCCGGTTCGGACCCTCGCGGCGATCCACATCAGATCCATAATAAATGGCATCAATCAGCCAACCGGCGCTCGGCTCCCGACTCCCGCCAAGCCGCCGACAGCCCGAAGGCGCACAAAACGAACCGTCTGCCCAGTCGAGATGGCTTCAATTTTCTTGCAGCAGCTTGTCCAGACGTCTCCAGTTCGACCCGTCAGTCTGGTACCTCTTTCAACCCCGGATTTCCCAAGCTTGTTGGCCCCCTCTCGAGCTCTTCATGACGCATATTGACGATTCTTCCAGATGCATTCGTCATACGGGATGAGATCATTCACTCCCTCCTTTGCGATTACGATACTCCTCCGGCAGCCACTCCATTTCTAAGCCAACAAGCCCCGGAAAACCCTTCGCTGCCCCAGTATTTCGAAAATGGAGCCTGTCCAAGTACAAGATACTCAAATGATTGCTGATTCGCCCCGTGTGATGCAAAGTCCATGTTACTGACGTTGAATCCTTGGGGTCCCGCTTCCAGCCAATCAGAGCCGCTAGCTCGACATCGCGGAAGCTTTGGCGTCGATGTCGTGATCGCTCCTAGACGCAACGCCAGACGCCCAAGCAGCTTCCAAGGCGCGTGCTCAATGCATTTGGCTCGTCTTATTGCTCCCTCTGAGCGATGTTCCGACGCCAGGCCTGGCAAATTGGACGGGGGTCTTTGCCTTTTGCAATCATTGGGGGCTCGGTTTTTTTTCTAGGCAGGAGAATTAGTCAGGGCGGGCGAAAAACAGGGCCACAGATTCCCCAGATTGCCTTGCTTTCATATACAGAGAGCCTGCCCCCAAGCTTCTCCGTAAATAATAAAAGTTCAGCTTCCATTCTCTTTGCTCCCCATAGATCCTTTGACTGGACATCCCTCTTTGACCGGTGACGCCTTTTTCTCTTCAAGAAACTAGCCCCGAAGAAAGACAGCCGCTTGGATCTCTGAATCATCTCGCACTCGCGAATACAATTCTCTCCTCAGGCACAACAGCCCAAGCACCTCTGCTGTTGCCCAACCGAGGCATCATACCAATCTTCCACCCCACAACCCCCTTTCTCTCTTGCCATCATGTCCGTCATCATGGAGCAGTCGACGGTTCAGTCGTCTTATAAGATTGATACCAACGACATCGAGTCTGGTTATGCCTCCGGCCAGTCCGACTACTCTCCGTCACCGAGAGAAGAGAAGCCCGATATTTCCCTCAGCAAGTCTCACATCGAATACCTCAACCAGCAGATGGAGAATATGCATCCCATGGACATCCTCCGCTTCTGCAGAATCATGTTCCCCAACCTCTACCAGTCAACGGCGTTTGGCCTGACGGGTCTCGCCACCATGGACATGCTGTCCAAGATCCAAAAGGAGAACCCCGAGTCCCGCACTGTCGACCTCATCTTCCTTGACACCCTGTATCACTTCAAGGAGACGTATGAGCTCGTCGACCGGGTCAGGGAAAGATATCCCAACGTCCCCATCCACATCTTCAAGCCCGACGGCATGGAGACTGCCCAGCAGCTCGAGGAGACGTATGGAGAGGAGTTTTACCACACTGCCGGCGACATGTACGACTGGATCGTCAAGGTCGAGCCCCTGCAGCGAGCATATGACGAGCTCAAGGTTGCCGCCGTGCTCAACGGCCGTCGACGATCTCAGGGCGCGGCCCGCGGCTCCATCCCCATCATCGAGCTCGATGAGGAGCGAAACATCGTCAAGATCAACCCCATGGCCGCCTGGACCTTTGCCCAGGTCAACGAGTACATCAAGGAGAACAATGTCCCCTACAACGCCTTGCTTGACCAGGGCTACAAGTCGGTTGGCGACTGGCACTCGACCAGCCCCGTCGGCGAGGGAGAGGATGAACGTGCCGGCCGCTGGAAGGGCCAGAACAAGACCGAGTGCGGCATCCACAACAAGAAGTCCAAGTACTCCGAATTTGTCGTCCAGCGGGAGGGCCAGGCTGCGCCTGTGCCATGAGCGCACGCGTCGTCGTATCTCTCGGGTGAAGCGCGCTCTCCGCACATAAAGCCCGGAGGCATGGATAGATTTGTTATGACATGATGAGCTTTAGTGGCATTGGCGATTGGAGTCTTTGAGGAGTTGCTTTCGATGGAACAGCATTGGATGGGGGGTTTGACCCCATAGATATATCATGGGCGGCGTTTGGCTTGATTTGTTTCTTTTTTTCTTCATCATTATTCCGAGAATTCACCGGCTGAGCAGGTTTCTGACAAAAAGGCGGCATCACATGCCCGTGGCAGTAGATAGCGGGGGTGAATAAATCAAAAAGTAATTCATCATCAACCCTGTGCGTGTGTCTTTGTGTAATGAATGGTGAAGGTTAGAGAAGAGGCATCATGGAGTCAGCGCCGTCTCGGTTTCTGATATATAGTTATTTGAGCCACTCAGTGCCCCGCGCCTCGCCGTAGATAAGCGTCTGACTGCGATCTACCACACTAGCCACCAACGTCAGATAGGGCACTATCAATGCTCATTGCAGGACCAGATTCAATTTTCAAATTTCCTCCAGGGTAACGATAACAGGTATTTCATTCGGAATTCAAGCAGAGCGATTGTCTTGTATTTTTAACAATTCATTCTCTCTGTTCTTCTTTTTAAACTATTCATTCAGACATCGCCTCCATTATGCAGCCTCTCACTCAGCCGTCAGCTCCATTCCGCGAGAAAAAGTCAAAAATCCTCGAGCAGCTCGCCGTTCCAGACACCGAATACTCTGACGCATCACCCAAAGGCTCCGTCGATGAAGGGATCCGGTACCTCATTGATGAAATCAACAATGCCGAGGGATTTGTAACGACGAGTAGCTGCGCTGGCCGTGCAAGCGTCTTTCTTGAGGGCAGAAAAACCAAGTCTGGGGATGGAGAGAATGGCGAGGGTGAACAAGTTGCACGAATAGGCGGCAAGGGGGCTGGAGGAACGTGGCTGTACGTCTCTCACGATGCTCGGGCTGATGGGGACGAGACACATCTGGATTGGATGCAGAGCTTAGGGTTGTCGGATTCGGTGGACATGGTTGAGACTCTTGCGGATGGAAGTGGTGAGAGAAGGCTCATACACTTTAAGTTTGAGCCCATGGTGAGCAATTCTCTTTCTCTTTATGAAGAAGATGGTTTCTTATGACAAAGGCTGACCGAAAACCTTTTCAAAGATTCTCCATGTTCTTACGGCATCACTTGGTCACGCTCAGCTTCTCCTGCGTTGTGCCTTACAAGCCGGATTCCGTGAGTCTGGCGCCATCAACATCACTTCTCACCCTAGCGAGCAAACCACGCCCATGGTCGCCATCCGCTCCATGGGTCTAAGCCTCGAATCCCTCGTGGGTTACCAGGACTCGGAGGGGCAACGCCAGCGGATAGTCTCTGCTGGGTATTTCAAGATGCTTCTGCAGATATCCAACGAGCGGTTCGTGGAAAACACAAAACGCATAGAAAGGTTCCGGTCAGCATTCAACGAGGCCGTGCTGGAACCGAAGTCGTCAAGCATCCCTAAGAAATTGAACCCCGAGGGCAAGGAATGGGAAGATGCTGCTGCCAGGCGCGAAAGGTTGCGAGTGGAAGGGCTGAAAAGGAAAGCAGCTCTCCAGGCCGACAAGGCTGATGCACCATCACAAGACATAGACGTTGAATTGCAAATGGATTCTCCCTTTTAGCGCAATGAGTTTCTTTTTTTTCTGTTCATACATTGTGCCCCATGCATGCAGCTTTTACCGCTGCCATCTTGCTATAGTGTACAGATATACACACCCATTCCATCGCTCGCCTAGAATTCCGTCAGTGCGTTCGAAGCACTGGCTTGTCATCGTAAGTCTATATAGCCGCTGATCTCTCTCTTCTTTTGCATCTTTCTGTTCTTTTCTACCCTCTCACGTTGTCTCCTTTTTTCATATGCTCAAAAAAAAGCTCTATGCCGTGACCTTGTTGATCCAGTCCTTCTCCAGCTTCTTGACTTCCGCCTTGAATGCCTCGACTTCGTCATAGCAGACCAGAGGTCTCCTGTCGTTCTCCCTCAAGCATCGAATGACATTGTTTCGCGCCGTCTCCACGGTCTCGGGCAGCTCTCGCACAATTCTGCGCTGCTCGAGCTTGCTGCGCAGCTCATCAATCTCCTTGCTGACGGTGTAGCGGCTGGGGCCGTTATCTTCGGTGATTGAAGAAGCCGCCTCTGAGATCTTCTCGTGTGCGAATTTGAGGGCGTCGGACTCTTGCTTCTGCAGCCTCTTGAGCTCTTCGGCGACGCGGGCCTGGATATGTTGCTCAACTAGCTTGGCCCGGGAGGCATCCGTCTGGGGAACCGCTGGATCAGTCTCGACAGAACATTACAAACTACAGAGATTGAATAGAATCGGATCGAGGGCGTACTTCGGGGCTAGTTTGCAGCGACTCCATGACGGGCAGAGAGACGCTGGGCGGTCCTGAGCTGTTTTGATATAAAATTTCACCTCGTTAGCTGGCGAATGGGACTCAAGAAATGCTTTAAATGTTCAATTGACGTGATTACATACACCTTCCATTCGTAGGCCTGGGGCTTTGACTCTTGGGCACCCATGGCGACGGGCTCAATGGCGATGCGACAATTGTAGGGCGTGTTGAGCTCGTGATGGCGCTTTTTCGAAAATTCCGGGCATATTCGGCTGGCGTCACTGAGCTGCCGGGTCCGGAGGTTTCTGCCTGAGGAGCAAGCGTGGCTAATGAGGTGGCGCAGTTGAATGTGGCTGGTGCATCAGGTATTCCTCACATTCCTCAAAAGTGAACATCTCTCGTACGGAGCACATGCACATATGCTACAGTCACATGACCGGCGTTTCAAAGTTCAATTGCGAATGTATTGAACTGATTGATAAAGATTATTGTTCACGATAACAACAGCAACACACAAAATTCCATCACAGAATGAATAAAGGAGGCATTCAATAAGCCCACTCGCCTTCTATTCAACACAGATCGATCTTGCTAGTGCGCAATCTCTGCAATGTTTCAGAAGGCCTTGCATTGCTCCATTCTGAGTGGCGCATGTAAGATTGCCGAGCCCTTCCAAATGCTGCACTTAATGACAGTTACGCCTTTGAAACAGGGACGGATGCAATCTTCAGCATCCCATCATCACGACATGTCCCTCTATTGTCGTGCCACGAATGTTGGAAAAGGTTTTCTTTCTCTTCTTCAATGATTGAGCCAAGATAATGGTGACGGCTGCCATGGCTTCATTGGGTAATTCGCCGAAGCATGCGTGGGGCAATTGAGCAGGTTGTGGCCCCTGGCAGCAAAAGATGAGATGAATGGCCTTGGCCTCATCTTGCTGTGACATGCCAATGCGATGGGCTCCGGCGGGATGGAAGGCCTTTTCACTGGCATCATGCTTGTTGGGCTCGCCCACGTTTTCTCACCTTGATCTCTTGCTATTCCGCTAACGTGTAGAAATTCCGGATGGCATGGCAGAGTGGAGAGGTGCTGCTCGTGCGCAATCTTAATGGTAATTTTTGGCAATCTATCTCTTAATATCTGTTAATATCCATCCCCAGCAACTGAGCAGGCGGACCCGGGCAGATGATTGACTCTCAATAGGTGCCTTTCAGGTTCAGGTCGAATATTAGCAAGGGGCAGTAGGATACGATTTAGGGCAGGAATATCTCCTTATGGCCTCGCACATCATGCCACCTGCGCGTCTGCTCATGCCATGCGGCGCTGCCAGAGTGAATTTTTGTGCGGTGGGAGGAGATTACGACGAGGAAGCTGCCTTTTTGCTTTTTGGCGTTGCATCTCGGGCTGAAACGACGCCGGCCCTCGTGTTGCCGCGATGGCTTCCGCAAATCCGACGTCAAGTCCGGCCTGTGACTCTGACTGGCTGCCCTCTTCACCGCAGTGTCGCAGTCGGTCGGAACGCAGAACCAGTCATGATGAGTTTGCCACTCCCTCGTGTCTCTGTTTCCTCACAGGCAACGGCAGGGAAACCACAAGAAAAAGGCACCCCTGAACTAGGCTCGATGGCATGCAGGGCCCGCTCCAGTGGCTGGTTTCAGAACCGAGCAGCCAGTCAGACGGCGCATCTCGACGTCAGACCCCAGCATCTGAGGCCAGAGTTTGCAGCCAACCACGGCGTCCGGAACGGCGTTGGAGATGGTGCTTTTCCCAGTCGGGCGGCCTTCTGTCTTCTTTGCGTCGGTCATCCCTGCATAGCGCTCCCGAGCCGAGTCGAGAGCATGAGGGGAAAGAGGCGCTGTTAGCCTATCGGTGGATGGGAGAGAGGAGAGAGGGCGCCTAGAAGGGCAGACGGCCAGTTCTGCCCGAGATTCTGCAGAGCCTGCTGAAGATGATGCCGGCGATGCGGGTTTTTGACTTGGCAGTCTTGACGAAAGTAGGTATTGACTCGTATCCGTAACCCTGGAGGGCTGAGCGTCAGTGCGGGCACCGAGGCGATTGTACACGTAAGGACACGCGGATCGAATTGGCGCTCTGGGGGGAACATGACATGTGAGATCAACTGATGCAAATCGAGGCTGAATGATGGTGCCGTGTTGAAGCTGTTTTGATTTGATGAATGCCATTCAGTGTTTCTGAGCCAGCCATCGAGGCAACTCACCACTCTACCAGAGACAAGAATCAATGTCGCGGTCAGAATTAAGCGTAAACTCAAACAGCAGACGAACGGCCGTCCAATTGATGTTCTCAACAGTGCAGTCCCTATTGATTGGCTTTTTCCCTCTTGATCTCACCATCTCTCTCTGTGCTATTTAACTCTGCAGCTGCAGTGGCGTGCTGACGTGCTTCTGGTACCTGCGTCTGGCGTCGTGCAAACAATTGATGCTTCGTCCCAGCAGAAAACACCATGGAATAAGCAGCTGGCGTTTTTAGCGGCCGCGTGCCACTGCCAGCCATCCGAGCGGAGTTGGGCGCTAGAGAGCTACAGGGGCCACCAAAAGGGCTCCGTCGAAGCTCCATTGGGCCCCCATAGGCCCCCATAGGTGCCCCCGTCAGAGGGAGCAGGGCCCTGGCTTGGGCGGTCCAGGGCGTCTGCTAGGGCTTCTGCTGGGGGGCCTCGGCAGGGGCGTTGAGAGCGCTAATCGCTTGGCCGCGCAGCTTCAACGCCCAGCAGCCACTGATCGCCTCCCAAACATGCCATCGCAGCCATCAGGGGGAATGTGGGCGGCCGAGGGCGAACCATCTTTTACTCTCCCTGCGCCCCCTCGAGGCCACTTGTTTCCATCATCGTTTTTTGCCTGATTGTCTCTTTTCCTCTCCAGCTTGGTTGGCTCGACCTGTCCATTCCCTCAGCCCTTCTGCGTTTCATCTGATCTGATTTGCCCACTCGTTCTCTCGTCATCACGTTGTTTCCACCTGACTCTTTAAAAAAAAAAAGAAAGAAAACGGGAAACTGAACAATCATTGAATCAATACTTCAACTGCCTCCTTCGCAGTCATTTCTCAAAGGGGCTGGTGATCTTCACCTTGACAAGCCCTGCCGTCATCAACTTCAATCTCAATCTCAATCTCCATCAATATCGTCTCCTCGAAACATCTGCTGCGTGCGGCCGATTTGTTTCCTTTTTTTTCTTCCCAGGATCCCCTTGGCGCGGAGATCGGCTGGACTATTGCAGCTTTGCGTTTCAACTACCTGACTTGACTTTTTTTTTTGCCGCTACACTCGCATAGCCGCCTGCTACCACATACCAGCACCAGATCGTCAAGCTGAAACCTTGGGCGGCATAAATAAACACGCCAAAGCAAACGCACTCTTCGCGGGACCAGCAAAAAAATACCGCTCCCGTCCGCCTCCTGTCACTGTTATTTTGTCTATTGTTATTCTTTTTTGGACTCAACTGCCTGGTCCTTGCTCGAGTCTCCATCCCATACACTATCTCCTCAATTATCCACGGGTCCACCGAAGCCGCTGCGTGCGCGTGTCAGCAACCCCCCCAAGTCGAAACAATCGAATCTCGCAAGGAAACAAGTTCAATTGTCCCGAAAGCCGACTGGCCGTTCTGGAAACAAATTCTAGTTGCCGCTACTGCACCTTGACTTGAACCTGAGGCTACGGGCACACAGCAACGGGAGTGACTTGGGTCCCTGCACCCAGTTTCTGCTTCTTCGCCTGCTCGGAGCGAACCAGCTTCCACTTCCTTAACCCCTTCGACCTTCTCCTTCTTCCCGGCCCTTGGTTGTGTTACATGCACAGGATGCTCTTCGACAACGAAGCGTAACACACACGACCTGTTTTCTTTTTTGCCCTTTCTTCCGGCCGTGACTCCAGCTCGCTACTGAGTGGCGCTCTTTGGAACACGGTCGACACTCTCGTTTTTTACCTGTTTGGGGTTCACGAACAGCACCTTTTTGGCTGGCGACGGTTCACTCTTTACGGCCTGTTCACCACTTGATCCTTCACACTCATTTGCCCTGCCTCTCTCGACGACGAAATCCTAAACCTCTTCAAGAAAGAAAAAAAAAAGAAAAGAAGAAAAAAAAAAAACCAAAAAAGAGCCAAGACCAAGACAAGATGGACTTCCATCCGCGCCGGTTCGCTGGAGGCATCGAGTCTTTGGTGCCCACTCGGGTGCTCCAAGCCAGGTCGTCGGATAGCTCAGAGGTACCATCTAATCCAACCATTGCACCCTATACCACCGCGCTAAATGGTGTTGATCAGAATCAAAACAATCTCTTCAAGGATATTCTCTGGACCAGTCTGGGGGCTGTTGCTGTCATTGTGTTACTTATCAGAATCGCAGAACTACTATGGGCCAAGCTGCGCCAGGTGTCGGCCATGTCGGTGCCGCGAGACAAGCAGGGCTACTGGAAGATTTCGCAATGGAGTTGGATGCCGGGCATGAAGAAGCACATGATTTACGCTCCTCTGTTTGGAAAGCGCCACAACCGCGAGTTTCGCTTCTCGTCCGCCATCAACGTCGGCACTCTACCCTCGAGGCTGCACGCCACGCTGCTGCTCCTGTACCTCGCTAGCAACATTGTGTACATGTTCATCCTCGACTGGACGCAGGCCAACTACTACTCGTTTTGCGCCGAGCTGCGTGGCCGTGCCGGAACCTTGGCCCTCGTCAACATGGTGCCCCTGATCATCATGGCGGGCCGCAACAACCCCCTTATCGGCCTCTTGCAAATCAGCTTCGACACGTACAACCTCCTGCACCGGTGGATGGGCCGCATCGTGGCCATCGAGGTCATCATCCACACCATTGCCTGGGCCATCCCGAGCGTCGCTAACAGCGGCTGGTCTGGTGTCTGGAAGTCGATATTCAAGTCGCCCTTTCTCGGATACGGGGGCCTTGGCACGCTCGCCTTCGCCCTCATCTTCATCCTCGCCGTCTCGCCCCTCCGACACGCCTTTTACGAGACCTTCCTCAACCTTCACATCCTGCTCGCCGCCATCGCCTTCGCCTGCACATGGGTCCACTGCGTCACCGCCAGCATCCCCGGTGGCCTCCCGCAGCTGTCGTGGGTCATCGCCATCCTGGCCCTGTGGATTGCCGACCGCCTGGCTCGCATTGTCCGCATGGCGTGGGCCAACTGGTCCGACAAGGGCTTCGCCGACGCCCTGTGCGAGCCCATGCCCGGCGAGGTCACCCGAGTCACCTTCCGCCTGCCGCGATACGTCAACATCAAGCCGGGAACCCACGCCTACCTCCGTTTCTGGAACGTCAACGTGTGGGAGAGCCACCCCTTTTCCATTGCCTGGGTCGACCACGAGATCCAACACTCCCTGCCGACGGCCGAGAAGGAGCCCCTCACCGCGATGGACCGTAGCAATGCATTCACCTCGGTGTCGTTCCTCATCGGCGCTCAGACCGGCATGACACGGAAACTCTACAACACGGTCAAGGCCTCAGAACAGGGCATCCGGATGAAGGCGGCGCTGGAGGGCCCGTATGCTGGACATCACAGCCTCGACTCGTACGGCCACGCGGTCCTGTTTGCCGGCTCCACTGGCATCACGCACCAGATTTCCTACATTCGACATCTGCTAAACGGCTACAACGAAGGCACGGTCGCGACTCGGCGAGTAACGCTTGTCTGGATTATCCGGGAGTATGAATCCCTCGAGTGGGTGCGCCCATTCATGGACCAGATCTTGCGAATCCCGAACCGCAAAGACATCCTGCGCATCCAAGTCTTCGTCACGCGACCCCAAAACCCCCGCGACATTGCCAGCTCCAGCTCAACGGTCAAGATGTTCCCCGGACGTCCCAACGTGCCGCTACTGCTGGCCAAGGAAGTCCAGGAGCAGGTCGGCGCCATGGTCGTCACCGTCTGCGGGCCTGGTGCTTTGGCAGACGACGTGCGCGGCGCCGTCCGGTCGGTGCAAGGCCACACTGTCGTCGATTTCATTGAAGAGAGCTTCACTTGGTGATGTGCGACATATATAAACCGCCATCTATATATCTTTTATCTGGGTATTATGAAACGATGTTTGCAAAAAGAATCTTTTTATAACTATACTAGATGGGAGGGGGAAATCGAGGCGCTAGCCGGCGAAGGGACACGGGTTTTTTTTTGCCATTCGACGTGTATATATATTTTTTTTTATTAAATCTGCGACGCGGGGATTATAGCATCTACGAAAGGGGGGATGTACCAGACGTTGTATAGAATCTGCATCACTTCTTCTATACTCTTTTTTCTTTCTTTTTTACAAGATGAAACGGCGCAAGACGGTTGTGTTTTTTTTTGTTCTATAGCATAGCATCTGGGGAAATTGGACTGACATTTATCCTTTCTTTCTTTTTGTTAATTCTTCTCTCTTTTTTGTGTTCATGACTATGCATGTGTGTATGTCGTGTGACTCCAATTCCATATGAAGTTTGTAATTATTATACTTGGAATGCTATAGTATTTCATTTGTTCTTTTAGACTCGTTTTTGAAATACTCGTTGATATAGAACAAAGAAAAAAGGAACTATAAACTGCCTGCCATGCTTTTCCCCCAATTCACTTGGGTAATACTGTACACATCATAAAACTCCCTTATTCACAAGATATTCAAACTGCCTCCCCCAGAAAAAAAAAGGACCAAAGAAACGCCGTGTCTCCCCCTCCCTTGCTCTCCCCTTCCAAACACATCATCCCAATGCTTACGCTCCCACAAGCCCCTGGAGTTGCGCGGGCATCATCCCTTCGTCGTCCAGGCCCCTGAACCCTTCCTCGACGACCCACGCCCTGCCTCGCTCCCTGGGGTGAAGGAACTCGCATGAGCGGCCCACGACGAGGAGCCCCGGCGGGCGGCTGCCCTCTGCTTCGATGGCCTCGGCGACGTGGGCGAGGGTGGTGCGGATGACGCGCTGGTCGGGACAACTTGCGCGCTCGATGACGGCGCAGGGGGTAGAGAGGGGCCAGAGGGTCCTTGATGACGACGACGACGACGGTGTGGTGGTGTTGGTAACAGTGTTGCTGGGTTCGGGGGCTTTCCCGTCCTGATCTGCTTCGACGGCGGTGGTGAGTTCGCGCACCAGGCCGACGATGCGGTGCAGCGCCATGAGGAAGACGACTGTCCGCGAGGCGACGTACTCGGGCGGCGAGGGGGCCTTGCCCTTCTTGCCCGTGCCGGTGCAGACGAGGACCTGGTCGGCGACGTCGCGCTGGGTGGCGGGGATGGCCGCGAACAGGGGCGCGCTGAGGGCGCTGGTGACGCCGGGCAGGACGACGACGGCGCCGGGGGCGGCGAAGCCGTGCTGGCGGAAGTAGGCGAGCTCCTCGCCGCCGCGGCCGTAGATGAAGGGGTCGCCCTGCTTGAGGCGGAGGACCGTCTTGCCGGCGCGGGCGGCGGCGAGGGCGGCGGCCAGGAGCTCGTCCTGGGCCTGCTCGGCGTTGCCCGGGAACTTGCGGGCGATCTCGACGGGGGTGCGGCGCGGGATCAGGTCCAGCACGCCCGAGGGCACGAGCTTGTCGGCGAGGATGAGGTCGGCGGACTGGATGGCGTTGTAGGTTGCGCGGGTGAGCAGGTCTGGGTGTCCTGGCCCGCTGCCGGCGAGAATGACCTTGCCCTGCGGCCGCTCAAGGCCGGCGTCGTCGTCTCGAGGCCTGCGCTTTGCGAGGTCTGACTCTGCGGCGCTGCTGCTGGCGTAGGCCTCGAGGAGGCGGTGGACGTCGTCGTCGGTGACGGAGGCGAGCTTCTTCAGGGGCCAGTACTCGCAGACCTGGCTGAGCCAGCGCATCCTCCTGTTGCGGCGGGCATCGTCCTCGGCGGTGACGAGCTTGTTGAACAGCGCGCTCTGGTCGACGGAGTCGTCGAGGTCACCCAAGCTGCCCCCCTCGTCGTGCTGCTGGATGCGTCGCCTCGCCTCGCCGAAACGATGGCACGCGGCGCCGAGGTTGGGCGGTAGAGAAGAGGCGATTTCGCGGCGGATGCGGGAGGCGAGCTTGCAGCCGCGGCCGTTTGTGGTGACGCCGATCTGGAGAGGGCCGTCGGAGTGGACGGAGAGGAGGGAGAAGGTGCAGAGATGGGGGGCGTCGACGACGTTGACGGGGATGCGGTTGCGCTTGCAGAGGGAGGAGATGTGCGAGGCTTGAGCGTGGTGATGTTTAGTTTATTTGTATATGTATGTAGGGATAGTTGAAGGGAGTGAAAACGCACCAAGTTCGTCTCGTGATGCTCCCGCCGTTACAAACACGGCGTCGACGACTCGTCCAACTTCTTGTCTGCCCAGTCGAAACAGATGCTCATCTTCAAACTCCTCGCGCACCCACTTGACGCTGCCGTCGTCAATCTTCTGCTGCAGGCCGTAGTGTAGCTCAGCCGTCTCTGGCGCAACGACGATGGGGTGCGCTCCGGCGCCCAGAGACTGTGCGCATCGAGCTGCGGCCAAGGGGTTTGTGCCGATGACGAGATGGATGTTGCCCGTGCAGTTGAGGCCGGCGAGCAATGTGTTGCTGCTGCTGCTGGTGAGTGAAGGTGAAGGTGAAGGTGAGGTAGTAGTAGCCATTTTTTCTTTGATATGGCGGGATGTCGGGAGGCCCGAGATCCGGGGGGGGGGGATGATGATTGAAGGGTTTCACAACGTTGTTTGAGATTGGAATATAGCCGTGTATTTCAACAAAACTGGAAGTAAAAAAGAGTGATGTTTACTCTTGCTCTTACTTGAGTATTATTAAATAAAGCATCTGAATGGAAATCGTTTTATCCACATTGAACAAAATCTCACCAGTCATGTTCCCTCCCGACCGCCCGACGCCCCCAACGCCGAACAGCCGAACGAGAGCTTTTTTGTATTTTTTTTTGTCTGTTCTGAATTAGTCAAACCCCAGTCCAATCCGCCGAGCTGTATTACGAGTACACCTTTGTGCCAGCTTTTCGCGGGTTGGCTGAGGCTTCTTGGTAGCTCTACTTGCACGTACGGAAATGATCAATCTGCCACCAAGTTGACGCCATTCGCCCATGTGGGGCCGCTATCGGACTGATAAGACGAGCACTGATTACAGGGACAGGTAGGCAGATTGTGAGCATCTATCGATACTAGCTATGGAATACAGTCAATGAGACGAAGCATCTCCGAGGCGCTGCGCTGTTTGTTGACGAGAAATGCTGCTGCTTATCGGGTGAACCAGATGGATTGCCTTGGTTGTGAGTGTAGCGTCGACCACGACGAGCATCTCCGAGGCTTTTGTTCAGATCTGCTTCTTATCAGACTCAGAGATAAGCCTGACCAGATGGTAGGATTGTGAGCTTGTGATGATGATCTGACCATCTCCGAGGCGATTCAATAGATCTGTCCCGTCTTTTGGCCAAAAGGTAAAAGGAAAAGAAATCATGTTGCGGAGATCGCTAGTCGCTTTCGATTCGCTTCGCATGTAAAAAAAGAAGATAAGAATAGGTAGCAAGGTGTGAACCTGTGACTCAAGTTAGATCTTTACAGAGCTCTCAATACTATATGAGTTGGGGATGGTATATCGAATTCACCCTCATACAACCCCTTCATGTTTCTGTTTTGTGTGGGGGTTAGGAAAAAAAAAAAGTGTCCTCAAGGGAACAGTTCCGTGCTATCATGTTATGTGCTTATGTCCGCGGGGGGGGGGGGGGGGGGGGGGGGGGGGGGGGGGGGGGGGGGGG